GTTATGTGGGTGTCCTGTATGAGCTGTGGGTTTGCCACCTATGCAGAAAGAAAGTCCCTTTCCTTATCAGGAGAAATTTTGGGTTACACACCATGGAAAAAAAGGCTGGGACTTCAAGTCAAATTTGTCTTATAAATAGCAATGATTTAAAGGCTGAGCATGCTTATGCTTTATGCTTCTCAAAGTGTACAAATACAGATTAATTAAAGGTTACTCCAGGCTGTATATCAAAACCTGTTTACCAAAGTATTCCTGAGAATTTGTCTGAAGGAGGACTAGAGCTGAATTCAGTTTGGGAGTAAATAAGAAGTGTGTGTTTCAATCCCAGTATGGTCTTAAATGTGGCTTATACATTTCATACGAGGCCAGCTTGTGACCTTACCATCTGCCCTAAGGAACGCATGCCACAAAGAACAAACTGGAATCTGACCTCCTTGCTTTGGGGTAGTGGTAATTTATGTCTCCCTTTGTTGGGAAGTAGGTTTATTTTAATCTGTGCCTAGTTTGCTGGAGCACAAAGGGAGGAAAGCGGTTGAGCCTCCTTCACATCACCTCCACCCTTTACTCCCCTACACGTGGCGTATAGCACATATGAGTTCTACTGTTGTTTCCTCTGTGCCACAAGTATCGGTGACTTTATGCGGTCTGTGCTGCTGTGCAGAACAGTCCTTGAGGCAGGCTTGGGGCCAAATTAGCTGCTTGTCCATCTCCTTTGCCTGCCACTAGGCTTTGGGAGCCAGCTTGGGGCAACCTTACTGATATTCCTAAAGAGGTTACGTAGGGACCTTTGTGCTTGAGTACCCCTTAGCATTTAGCTGTCCAGCCTCCAACTATCACGTTGGCCTCTGCAGTTATACTGTTATACTTTGCATCCTGCTAAAGAGGTGTAAGTGCTGTCGGCTACAAAGGAGGTGGAGTTTGTAGGATTCTGACCGAGTTCAACAGGACTGTGTGGATACAGCCAATTTGTCCATGACAAGCTAGGATATCATAAAGCATAGCTAAGTCTTGATTTTGGCGTTGTATGCATGCAGTAAGTTAGCGAAGACTGAATACCCCTATGTTCATATAGTTAAGCCATCTTACGGTGGAGAATAGATACATGTTTTCTACTGTTGCATGTGATAGTGAAACTGAAGTTAGATCTCAATATTTTAAATTAATTGCTTCCCCTATAGAAGTGTTCACAAGGAGCAGTGTATTTTTAGATGCACTCCCTTCCTTCTAGTTCATGTGTTGGCTTGTTGCTATGGTTTGGTCCAGAACAAGAAGAAAAAAATTGTGGTCCAATGAAGCCTATGTAAAGCCCTCATAATATAAGCCTGAGTATGTTTGTGTGTGTGAAAGGCTGCAAATGATATGCAAAGGAAATGCAGATCAAGGACATTAATGGTATACTAAACACTAAAACAGAAGAACAAAATAGAGAATTGTGCTTGACTTCCACACTCCTCCTTTACCCACTCGATATTTTTATTGGAAGCAGTTAATTGTGCTGATAGAGATTTCATATTCCAGAAGGGAATGCAGTTTGGCAAAATATCCTAGCTTTCAATGCAGACAGATGAATAAAGGGTAACCTTTAAAATCCCCATAGAATAAACTGTTGAGAAACAAAACAGGCACATGGCAGACCATCTGCAAATTCTCTGAATGTGCAGAGCTGTAGAATAAGATGAAGTCTGATATCAAATAATTTTTAAGCGTGGTAAAATGGTACATATACATCTGTCATATTAAGAAAGAGCAAAGATTAGGCTTTCATTCTTGTTTATGATCTCCCACAGCAGCTACTACCCCAGTACTTATACATTGAGCAGACCCGCTAGCAGCAGCACACGGTAGACTTCAAACAAAAACATGTGTCTTCCTGGCTCAAGAGAGTCCAGCCAGGCTTGCAGGTTTTTGTCTTTGCCTACTGGGAAAAATTTATTAGGAAAGCAGAAATATTCCCAAAGCTGGCAGATACTACATTAAAGCCATATAGCATTTTCTTTACTGCTGATGTTCCCTTGGCCGTGAATATTTTCTCTCCAGTGCTCACATACCTAAACCTTGCTTCTGTAAACTATGCTGGCCAAATGGATTGCAGTTATCTAGGTGAGTCATGGAAAGAGAGGTCACTAAGGTAACTGTGGCCTAGGCAACTGATAAATCATGCCCAGAGTTTCATTTGGATACAGAAGTGTGTTGAAAGCCAATAAAGAGAGACTGTATTTTCATGTCCTGCATGGGAAGCAGGCTACTGTGCTCTGTAAAGACTGAAGCATATGCATTCTTTCCTCCTCCAATATAAAATTCAGTGCAGAGCATTTAAGCAAGCTAACATTTTCTTTTTTTTGGTTTTTTTTTTTGAACAAACACATGCTGTCCGATTTAGGTGGGTGTCAGAGAATCTGCACTCCTTTGACAAACCCAAAGAGATGACTCTGTAAGGTGATAGACTACCAGCTTAGCTTTTTCTTCAAAGTATTTTCCTCTTATCAGCAACTGCTCTGTTCTGTTTGGATTTAGGATGAGTCAGCTGTTACTTATCCAAGTTCTTCTATCTGCATCTTAAGATGATGGAAAGATGATGATATAGGAGGAAAACAAGACACAGAGCTAAATAGTCATCTTCTGTACAGATTTTGAAGAGGGCAGAGG